TTCATTGTTCTAGCAACTCAGTGCAGTTTTAGGGAATGTTCAGGCTTCCTCACTGCGGTGGTCAGGATAAGAATGGCCTCCGTAGGCTCATACAGTTAGCTGCTTGGTTCCCTGTTGGTATCTAAGAAGAAGATGTGTCATGGAGGGCTGGCTCTGAGGGTCTACAGCCCATGGCATGGCATGCCCAGTTCATATTTGTACTAATGTCCCCTCTCTCTCTCCTCATGTTTGTGGTTAACTGTAGCTTGAACTCTGCACTGCTACTCCAGCTCCGTGTCTGCCTGTCTGCTCCGCTCACTGCCATTACGATCATAGACGCCTACCTTCTGGAACCATGAGTGCCGGATGAAATAACTTTCTCTTCTGAGTTTCCTGGGACATGGTGTTTTATCATAAAAATAGAAAAGTAATTTAAGACACTTACCCCGAACCCTATGATTCAGGTTACAGCTCAGTGTGCTCCACAAGCGACTCTGAAGCAACAAGCCGTTTGTCCTAGGGACTCGCGGGATAACAGGAAAGTAGTTGGGGTTCCTTCCCAAAATCTTCTACCTAGAGTTGATGTGGCCCCTGCGGGAACATCTGAAACTCTCCACCCCATTCCCGTTTTCTACTCCTTACAGGATCCAGTCTGCACGTGCCCCCCAGCCGTGGTCAGCTCTTTGCAGCTTGACAGATAGCTTCTGGCAGCAGGAGGGAGGTTCCACCAGTGCAGTGCAGTCTAGCATACTGGTTACTAGTAGCTGAAGGAGAGGGGCCATTGGATTTCCTGATGTAGGTTTCTCTCTCTCGCCCCTAGCTATCCTCCTTTCTCTCCTCTTTTTATCGTCATTTTATATTCCATAATCATCCTGTGGGCAAGCTGTTCTGTCTCGAGAACAGCTGCCTACTCTTTGGAGATTATTCTTTTAAAAGTCTTTTTCTAATCTGCAGGTTTTCTACTATTGAATTAAAAAAAATGAATTGCAGCTTATCATACCACTGGGATGTAGAGATGCAATAATGTCATTTAAAAACTACATGCATCAGCAGAATACACTGGTCATGGTTGCAGACTAGACCTGTCAATGCATGCAGAAAGAGATGTACTAAAGCCTCTAGGTTTCGAGCAAATGGTGAGTTACAAAAGGGCACCCAGTAACTTTGCTGTGGAAAAGCCCTGCAGTCACTCCTTAATTCAGTGTTGAAGGCCAATACCAGTACAAAGGCCCTCTGACTTTTAGCAGACAAAGAAGAGCAGGTTGCTTCTGTGGGCCTGTTTTCCCATCATGGGTTCAGCCCAGTCAGGAGGAAACATCAGACAGTCCCTACCATGAGGTATATACAAAATATCTAACCACTGCCCTTCAGGAATGCCAAGCTTATAGTAGACAAGCAAAACCAAAGTTACTGTCACAGGTTAGAGGAAACTCCACTGTGACCATGACTACGGGGTCCAAGGTTAGTTTTAGAACAGAAAAAGAGCACACCTGTGGAAATGCTAGTTCAGGGACTGGGAATACAGCCCAATCAGTAAAGTGTTGTCCTGCAAGCATAGTTTGGACCCTCAGCACTCACATGAAAGGCCAAGCCCAGTGCTCTGTAATAGGATAAAGTGTTGGAGAAAATCCTCACTATCCACCTCTCTCTACAGGTGCATACCTCTGCATGTACACACACACACACACACACACACACACACACACACACACACACACACGCACTGTGGCTTAGTTAATATCTGCTACTACAACCACTAGTCACACATGCTGTGTCTTAAGTTGTACTCATGCTCTGTGTGAGATGTCCTGAGTGAGGTCCTGCTATTTACTGCCCTTTATCTGACTCTAATTTTTCAGTAAAATAAGTAAATAAACAAATGGAAAACCACATTTGTTAGTAAGTGTATGTAGTGGCTTAATTTGTAAGAATATATTAAAATTCCATTCAGCCTGTACCCCTTTCTCAAACATGTGTTTATGTTCTAGCAAATTATACCATTTATTCTTAATTAGCCCCTTTGTGGGTAGAAAAAAGCAATGCAGTTTTTGTATATGTGTGAAATACAAACAAGTCTAGCTACATACTCTCATCTCATTCTAAGGAACAGAACAGAGCTGTGGGCTGCACACCTTTGTGTCCCTTTTTTGTGGCATCCTGCCTTTCTTACCACCAGCACAATAGTGCTTCCAACTAAAGATGATCAGCAATTTATTTTTCATTTTTCCAAACCACATAAATTATATTCTACAGCATAACTTCAACTTTTCTCCATATGTACTTAGTTCCTTTTCTCTGCTGTTTGCATTTCTAGCAGAACATCCAGTATTCATCCTTTCTCCCATGGCAAATAGATTGAGGATTTGGGTTTGGGTTTTGAGTGGATGGTGGATATTCTTGATGTCTTTTTGAGGCCAAAGTATGTCTTCTGCACTTTAGAAACAGCGTCCACACTTGTACTGTGCCTTCCATTATAACTGGTTTTGTTTGATATGAGACTGAAAATTTCTCAAGGGTCTAATTTCCCAGAGTGAACATTATTGTGATAATGAGGATCTAGTGTTAATTGAATAAGTAAATATTTTAATTAATTAAATACTGCCTATATATCTCAAATATACTTAAGTGTTTATATAGTATTGCCTTCTTGGTACTTTTTATCATTAGAAAGATTTATGCAGCATGGGCAGCTGGTCACTGAGGTGGAAGTGTAGAGCCAAACTAAGCCCTGCAGCTTTGCAGTGAGAACTCTCTGGGAAGCCTGGAGGCGGTGTGGCACAGCTGCTCTGTGTCTCACCATGGACTTTGTACCCAGCATCCCTCCTTGTACACAGTTCTCCCTCCTTCCTCATCACAGAGGGGAGGGAGGCAGTCCACTGATTTGTGCTGCAGCAAAGTTCTCACTTTTGTGCGTTATTTTCATTAGAACACTTTACTATTTTTGATTAAGATTTGTGTCCAAAGTGGAGTAACACATTAGTCCTCCCTGTCCCTGCCTGTCCCGTTTTTTTATGCAGATTTTTGTCTTACTCTACAAAACACCAGGTTTCACAGCTCTCTAGACATTGACTTCTTCAACAGCGTGTTTAGATGTAAATAGTGCTAATTATTGTCTGTATTTTACAGGTTACAAATACTGAAGAGGTTGGGGAAGGATAAAAGACTGACTCGGGTTCACAGGCTAGACATAAAACCAGAACTCTAAGCTCAGTCCTGTCCAGATGTTACAATTTTAGTATTCACCATATAGGAACATATTAATCCAGATGTTACTGTGTCACCAGTATCAGTGACATAATGACCATTTGACAGCTAGGAACAGTATTCTGATGCTATTAGTGGGAAACTGGTGGCTGCTTTTGTTGCTCCTTCTTTGTTAAAAATCTCCCAGGAAAAGCTTAAGACAAACAGTGCAGAAGAACACAAGGAAATCTTTTAAGTGAAGCATATGGAGAGGTGCGGCTAGCCTGCAATATCCAAGAAGACAAATGGCTTTTTGATAGCTTTAGACCTACTGATGAATTAACACCTCTCCTCAGATAGAGTGTGGCTGATCTCTCAGATTGCACTTTTTAAGCTGCAGAGGCAGTGCACTTAGGATACTGTCTTTATGTCAGAAATGCACTTTTGTGCTTGAAAATGATAAAAAATTACAATCGATCCTTACAACTGTTCTGTTCATCTTTATTGATCAGGTGCAAGAAAGATAAATCGTAGCCCAAATAAGATCATAGTAAATGTTAGCATCATAGGGGACTGGCGGGTGATAGAGAGCCATTCATCATCTCAAATGGTGACCTGTCCGTGGCTCTAGCCACCCCAGTCTGCTGTCTAATCACATACCTATTGATTTTATCTGCATCTTAGAAGCCTGGATGTGACTGTCATTGGACAACCTGGATTGTTAAATGCAAAGAGGTCACTGGTGTGAGGAGGCTTTCATTTTCATTTTCTTGCCAACCAACAATGATTTATTAAAAAATAAACTACCCAAGCTGTGGCTGTGAAGCCCAAGTGATTGGAGGGTGAGGGCACACAATAGAGCCCTGCGTTGTGTTGCATCCTTCTGCACTGCCCAGTGCTTTGCAGGGTATTTCATTGAGTCTGAGAGCTCATGGGTCATTTAGGCCAACCTCTCTAGTACACTGCTTTCAGAGCAGCTAGCAGCTAGTCAGAATGGGAAATTTTTAGTTCTAGTGTCCTGGGAAAAGCATTGGATTGCCACTGCAGCTTGGCTTATGTTGTAGCTTGGCTTATGTTGTTCCTGAGTTCATATCATATATGGTACAGCCTTTTTGCTAAGATTTCTAAGTCTGCCTTTTTGTTCATGTTGATTGTTACAAATGTTGAGATTCTTTTAGTCATGTGAAAGTGATAGAACACTTCTTTTTGTTGTTGTTATTCTATCAAAAATTCCTACCACCCCCTCCAAACAGGATCTGGAACTTGCTGTGTAGACCAGGCTTGCCTGGAACTAAGCTCTCTCTGCCTCTGCCTCTTGAATGTTGAGATTAAAGGCATGTACCATCATGCTTGGCTAAGATCCATACTGAAAACAAAATATTTTGCAAAGTAAATACTGCATTTACATCACTGTGAGTGTGTGTGAATTTTGTTCTTTGAGCTTAAGAATCTTTTGATTTTACAGCCCTAGTTAACCAAGTAAGGTAGTGCTAAGCCATCCTTCAAAAATATGTTAGGAATTTTCTCAGGAGGTGATTCTGAGAGTCTCAACATTTGTAACAATCAACATGAACAAAAAGGCAGACTTAGTAACCTTAGTAATTCTTCATTATGAATCAATAGTATGAACATCTGTCATGTAATTATATACATGTATCAATGTCAGTGCTGCCATTTAAGTTAGTGGCCTTCCAAGTGTTTAAGTACTGTGCCATTTAAGCCACAAATTCCTCCACTTCTGGTGTGCCTACAACAAGGTTGCTTCAATTTTTTAAAATTGTAGGTCTTCAGAACATTTGTCTTCTAGCATAGTGAAAATGTGTCAACTTTGTCCACAGAGCTCAGAGTTCTACAAAGTCACCACTGAAGAGTATCAGAAAGCTGCTGAAGAGGTGGAGGCCAAGTTCAAGTGAGTTTCACCCTGCCCTGGCCTGTGATCCAAGATGAAAGCTTGGTTGTGTTCCTTTCTGCTGGGGAATACTTGGAAGTGTTTTGGGGTGGTCAAGATATAGCCATGTTATCTGCTTTACTGGAACATATGGTGAAAGATTGTTGCTTCTCAATCCATTTTATGAACTAAGTGGAAAATAAAGGGTAAGAGAGTTTTCAATTGAAGTTGTAGATGGCATAGAATGTTCTAATTGCTACCTCTATTAATTGAAACATGGGAAACAATCACTTGTAGTAAAATGATGGGCAGGTCCAAATTTGGATATCTTGCATTTAAACTATTTTTATTTCTTCACAAGTACCTTGAACACATTTAAATCGTAGACTTTAACTTACCCTTGATTATGAAGGTGATGTTAAATTACTACATCTATTCATCCTTGTGATAGCTAAATGAATATTCTGTAATTGATGGATCAAAGTGCCCATGACCCATAGCCTTCCTTGTTCTCGTTACCTCCAGTTCTCATATTAGGTAAGAGGATAGTTTATTGAGTATATAAAGGACTCTATTATATAACCCCTTTTAGTAGCACATGTACAAATTAGTGAAGGAAAAAAGGTGTTGTGACAGATTTAGTTAAGAGATTACATTGAGCTCTGACCTCCTTCCTTACACATGTTTATAAGCGTTTAATAAAATGATTAAACCTTAAGGTAGAATTATTAGTTTCTGTTTCAATGCCATTTATGTGGTAATGGATATTTGTGTTACTTAGTGTTGATTAAAGTAAGATTTTTTTAATCATGGTTTGAGGTGTGTTGGTGTGTTTAAGTAAATGTAAACTTTCTATCTTCTTTAGCAAACAAAACAAAAGCAAAGACTAGGAGATAGAGGAGATCTCCAATAGTGAGTCAAGTTCTACCCACTAATCAATGCCATTTATCTTTGAAGACAGAGTCTTATGTGACCCAGGCAGGGCTCAGACCTGGTATCATAGCAAGCCTTCGATTCCTTTGTCTCCCACCACACAAGTGCTGTGGTCATAGGTATGTGCCACAGGTCTCATTCTAGGAGACCAGGAAGCTTTAAAGGGCTAGGGATGTACAAGCGAACAAGATCCTTGGTTTTATCCCTGGCACCACATTAAACCAGGTCAACCTGGGGTATATAAGATGCTGTTTCCAGACAAAAAATTCAGATAAAAAGTTGGATGTTGAACTAACATTGAAAAATAGTACTGTACTTTCCATGGTTTTTGATATTGTAGTAGTTTATCTTTTCTCCTGATGGAATAACATTTCAAAAACCCTTTGTTTTCATACTTTGAAAACCTTTGACTTGGCGTCCTGGCTATTTCTTCATTATAAGATGATCACTATAAAAATAACTAAAATTCAAGTTAGAAACAATGCAGACTAGAGTGATCTATGAGTCTTCATAAAGAACATGGCATGTGTCTTTGACTGGAGAAAGGTATTGAGTAGGTGGAAGAGGAAGATGTCCAGAAGGAAAATACTCCTGTTTTGTTAGTGGGTGACAACTTTAGTGAAGATCAATGGCTCAAGAGATTAGCACAAGATAGAGATGCAGAGGTCACAGGTCACCAGCTGCCACACTGACACTGGGTCTTCATTTAGTAAGGAGTAAATGGAAGTAGGTTGAGCCCAAGAGTGCCCTGACTTCAGTAGTTTGAATAGTCAAAGTACTGAATAGTCATCTGATGTGCGTGTGAGGCTTGGCTGAACATGTAAGAAAGAAGAATCAAAAGTCCCAGGTGGGTGTTCTCAGCAGGTAAAAGCTGATTGGTGCAAACGATTAAGATTGGATGTGAATTAATAAGTGGCTGATGGATTAAGCTCCAAATCTACAGAGTACTAGAGAGTGAAGTCCCCACCCAGTGTTCAGGGTTAGAGTTTTCTGAGGCCTTCATGGCCTGCAGATGGCCACTTTGTTGTGTGCCTTTACTTTGTATCTTCTAATCTTTTAAAAATATATAAGGGTAGTACTGAGACTAGACTCGAGCCCATTCTTATTTATCATACATTAATTACCTTTAAAAAAAAAAAAAACTGGATCAAGCTTTGTAGATCTGCCTGCCTCTCTCCTAAGTACATGCTAGGATTAAAGATGTGCCACCCCAACCACCCCTTAGGTACCCCTTCAGTGATCCTAAGTGCAGTCATACTTTGGCATAGTAGGCATTAGGGTTTTAGCATATAAGTTAAAAGGTAAAGATGACACACATGAATCCTTAATTCCTTGGATAGAATAGGCAAAAGATCCGTGATTGTGAGTTTAGCAGGTTAGAAAACTGATAGGTTGATTCTTCTAGAGGAAACATCTGGTTTGGGATGAGAAAAATGGCTCTTAAAGGGCTCCACTGAGCCATCCTACCGTGAGGTCTGCACTTGACTACAGGAAAGTAAGAGAGTCCATGGACCACATGAGTGTTTTCATGTCTTCTACAAGAAAATGTGGGCCTATAGGATAATCTTAGTTATGAAAAGAACCCCAGTAGCATCATTCTCTTACATTTTGATGTATTATTTGTACAATCCAGTTACATCTAGACTAACTGGTGAGTTAGGTTTTTTGCCTTTGCCACTGACTGGTCCAGATTTGCATCAGGCTCCTTGAGCGATAACCTCTAAAACTTTGGAACCTCTCTTGTGGCTGTTGTTATTTATGGTGGACTCCTCAGCTCATATGATATCAGGGTGATAGACCAAACACTGACCCATGAGACCTCAGGAAGTCTGCACACCAGGGTATGCTCCTCTGCCTAGCAGTACGTGAGTAGATGGTCACGTGTCTTCAGCAATTCTCCATCCCTAGGACAGTTCAAGAGCCTTCCTATACTTAGTTTTATCACCAGTGAGAGAAGTCTGTGGAGTGTTCCCTCAGACTACCATTTTCCCGACTCCAGTGCTAACAAATGTTCAGGCTTCATTCACAAGTTGAAATGGCTTTAGGATTCATGTTTTAGAGAGAAGCTCTTAGCATACCTGTGGTGGTGTTTTCTAGCAACTGCCTGCTGGGCCGAGCATCTCAGTGCCCTATTTTGATTTGCACTGTGACTATGCGAGGGGCTTCCTAGCTTAATAAAAATTGCTTAGAAGAGTCCCATGTCTCCTTAGAAGATTGCCCACCTCAAAATGTCATGACCCTCCATCTGTTCCAAAGCAGTGTACTATATATTGGTGCATAACCACTATCTTGTCTGGCCCGGTGCTTCTGCCTGCTTCCTCTCTGTACACCGGTGTAGCACCTGTGAGCTTTACTTTGAAGCTGTCTGACCATCTTGAACCTGAACTCAGCAATCTTCCTTAAGCAGCAAACACAGAAGGCTCTTCAGTCTTTAGTTAATTCTATTTGTTGGAAGATGATTGATTAGGATGTATACCTTGGTTGGCTGCAGGAGATGTATACTTTTTAAATGGCCATTTTAAGGACAATCTTATATTCCTAAGATGGGGCTTGCATGAAGTCACCCAAAGAGGGAAAGAAAGTGAAAATTATTTAAGATAGTAGATGACTAATACCTTGATGTCAGCTCCTCCTACCAAGACATTCCAGGGCCAGTTAAAATACTAGCTCATGCTCTCAGCCTGCAAGTTAGAGCTTGGACAGTAAACCATTGGGCACGTTAGACTTAGTGGGGTTTCTGTTTTCCTACTTCATCTACATGGCATTTATTCCTAGAAACTCTGGTGTGACCCAGCCCTGTTGTGTTCTACATTTTTGTGAGAAGGGCAGGTTTCAGTCACTGAGGTGGGGCCTAAACTACATCATAAAAGAAAAAACAGCTTTTCAAATGAAGTCCCTTTCAAAAACCCAGAGTTCTGTTGTAAAGAGAGCTGCCTTCCTGGTATACTCTAAACATTGTTGCCACTGTTCTGGTGAGAATTACAGAATTTAAAGACAATACATACTATTTAATTTTTTCTTCACATACATTTTTTTCATAATAGCTTTAGATATTTAGCTATAAAACATAAATCCAGTGGTCAGTGAGATGGCTCAGCAAGTAAAGGCACTTGCTGCCTAAGCCTCACAGCCTGAGTTCAATACCTGGAAGTCTCATGGTATTAAGAGAGCTTTCTCCTGCACATTTATTGTAGTGGGCTGTTAGCATCCTGTTCCTCGGTGTGATGGAAAATTGTGTTCTATATCGAGCCTTTTCTGTTTTATAGTTAATTAGAATATTACATTTACCAGTGTTACATCAGATTAGGAGTGTAGCTCAGAGGGTAGAGTACTTTGCCTAGTGTGCCTGAGGTCATGGTTTCTTTCCTCAGTACTGCAAAGAACAAAAAAGATGTATGTATGGTGCTTAGGACAAGTCTAACACAAAATACATGTAACAATAAATGCTAGAGTTTATCATTATATTAGAGTTATAAAACTATGTGCCAAAGGAACACACAAAATCTAGGTGGTATTAGGGCACTCTAACAGAACAGTAGGAGAAATAGCAACAGGAGAAATAAGGACTGAAGAGGAGTCTATAGTCTACCCAGGATTCCAAGCACACAAGGACAAGACCGTGTAGCTCTCAGAGATGTGTCTCAGCAAAGCAGTGAATGCTACAGGGCCTGTTTTCAGTCAACACCAGAACCTCCTCTCCCTGGTAGGTTGGTGCTCACATATCAGCATATAGAAAGCAAAATGCCCCATGTTTGTACACACAAGACTGTTTAAAGCCAAGACCAAGCAAGTATAAAGTACATACCAAAGAAACATAAACTACTCTACTGTAAAGACAGTGCAATAACTATAGAAAGCACTTTAGAATTGGCTGCTATTTCCTCCCCAGGCTGCCCTTAAAAATCATAAAGTAAACAATAGCTCCCTTTCATAAAAGGGGGGATAAGGTGGAAAATCATTTGAGTCTTGGGCAGTACTTTTGGAAGGGCTTCATTGGAGCCTGGGCTTCCTAACTTGGCCTCAGTTTCTTTGATTCTGAAACATTGTAGAGCAGTGTGACTGTAGGAGATTGCACCTGAATACAGGAACATT